CCACCCCCCCGTCCAAGTTGGCTGAGACTCCGACCCGGGTTACGACTTACGACTCCACTTACGCCGATCCCTCGCTCCTTTGCCAAGTTGACAAGTGCGGAAATCCAGCGGGTCGATTGTGGAATCGCTATCGAATGACCTTGATCGATAAAAAGCATTGCTAAGATAGGGATTTATCGATCGTGTTCATTCGATAACGATTCAACAATCGACCCGCAGGGGCCGAATTTTGTTGTCCTTGCACCGTACTTAAATATACTTAAGACGAATTTCGACTGCACTTGACAGGGTTGTCATAGTCAGGGAATGCCGGGAAAATCGAGAAATGTCAGGAGATTTCAAAAAGTCAGGGAAATTTGGGTCATTTAATTTCTTTTTTAGAGTGGGTTTGACGTTCAAACAATAAATATTGCCTGAAAACTATTTCATATCATGTCTTTTTAAGCATCTAGTATATCCTCAATTGTCAGGGAATTTTACCAAAATGTAACGGAAATGTGAGGGATTTTCTTTTTCTAAATTCTGTGGCAACCTTGTCGTTGGTCCTTCCACCGGACTTAAATTTACTTAGGAAGAATCTCGGCTGCACTTAAGGTGAATCCAGGGTTCGATTAGGGATAATTCAAGATTAGAGATAGCGCCACCAGTCACCACTGATAATTTCACTTTCCTTCTACGATTACTGAAATAATATTCCTCAAATTACAAAAAGCAGATCCACAAGATATAGATTATTTTTTGCTTGATTTTTTGAGCCAAAAATATTGGCAATTAGAATTACAAGCGCAGAGAAAGTACGGCTGAAACTTTCAGCTCAGAGGCGGCGGCCGAGCGCACAACCGACTCCCTCATGTTCTGTCTCTCTCTCTCCCATTGCCGCAATGGGCATTACTTTCCGCCGTAGTTACGACTTTATTTTTAAAAAAATTTGAGAAGATTTTTTTACTGAATGTTCCTCAAGTATGTTGCTATATCCCCTGAATCCCCAATCTTGAATAAGTATTACGGTTTTTATTATTTTGGCAAATATATACGGCTATTCTGAGCAGCGCGACGTGGTGGCCAAATCGCGAAGTTCTGAGCCTGGATTCACCTTAAGTCCAGCTCAGGGCCTCTGACTAGCCAATGGAGCAGTGTAACCTCATCGATGGATGTTACGCCTCTACGTGTGAAAGACCCCACGAAATTGGGCTCCAAGATGTTTAAAGGTCTGGAAAATAGGGAATTGTCATAAAAGTTTATCAGGCCAGGAAAACCAGGGAAATGTCGGGGAATTGTATCAGGTCCGGAAAGTCAAGGAAATGTCAGGAATTTTAATGAAGAAGTCTTGAAATTTTATTAAAGACGGTTTCTTAGCGATACAGCTCTGGTCACAAGCCGTGTCCTGTCGCAGGACTTAAAGTCACTGATTCCAGTATCCAGAATTTTCTGGAGGCTCGGTAACTTGGCTTTAATCCACGTTTAAAACGTGGATGGTATTCTTTTTCAGCATTGAAGTGTTGACGGCCACCACATCCGCAAGGTGTTCTTGGTTTTTTCCGAATTTGATTGATTTTGACTTCCTCTTTGATCCGGATCTTTAACCGGTTTTTCTCCTCTTTTGTTTCAGGTAAGCTGACTTCAATTTTTGAGGACTGTTAAGCAAAAAAACTTTTTTTTTATATTTTGGCGCAAGCCCTTATCACGAGAGCAAAGAATTATTGATGTTCTCGCATTCACATCATAAAAATTTATCCTCGCCTATACTCTCGGCAGTACGTTCAAACCCTCTACTATTTTCGTAAGTGATGATTTTTTTTACTGATTATTGGTATGGAACATATGATGGGGCAAACCTTGGAAACATTTTCATTCACTGGAATAAAAAACACATTGGATCTAGAGTCGAGACTCTTGAAAACATTGACAAGAAAAAATACTCTAGATTCAATCGGATTTCGCTTGAATCAAAACGAAATCCGCTTGAATTAAGAGGCTTGGTTCTTAATTTAAGCTAGATTCTAATTGAATCAAGAGTACTTTTTCTTGTCGATGTTTTTAAGAGTCTAGACTCTAGATGTTTTTTTTTTTTCCAGTGTCCCTTAAAAATATCTGATTTCATTGGAATCGTGTTGGGGTCCACTTTTGTAAACAATTTTGTGGAATCTGCTAGGAAAGTGATAATTCGTCGTCTCCAGCACGAAAGAACGTAACTCCATTCCATGGTTGCCAAATTGACTCAAAAAATTAATTTATTTTACAAAAATGTATGTGAGCTATTTCTATCCGAAGTTTTTCTGATTTTTGCATGAAATTCAGGGAATAATCGGTGAAATTTTTAGTTAGATATGCCCAAGATTCTCTTAATTAATGGGCAATTCGCGAGTAGAAATTTGGCAACATTGGAATGGAGTTACATTCTTTCGTGAGGGAACCGACGAATTCTGCAAGCTTGGAACGTGATGAACCTAGGGATCTGCTTCGCGAAAAATCAAGCGGAGAAGGTACCGCACAACATTTTCCAGAAACGGGTCATTTCGACGCAACACAGCTTTAAAAAAGTTCAGATTTTCCAAGCTTTTTGCCGGGCAGGCAATTTTTACTGCAAGG